AAATTCATCTGGAGGAACAAAAGATCAAGAATATCAATGAAAGGGTATCAATGGGGAGTAAGGGGGAATGGGAATCTGAGATCCGGTCCTAGAAGTAACATCTCAAACTATGCTACAAAGCTGTAATCATCAAAACAATTTGGTACCAGGTAAGAAATAGAAAGGTAGAAAAATGGAATAGATTAGGTACACAACATACAGAAACAAATGAGCACAGCAATGTAGTATTAGAAAAACCCAAAGATCCCAGGTATTGGGGCAAGAACTCACTATTCAACAAAGACTGGGAAAACTAGAAAGCAACCTAAGAGAAACTAGACCAATAGAGCAATATGTAGACAAATATCTCATAACATCTACCAACATAAGCTCAAAATGGGTACATGATTTAGACATAAAGGGTGCTGTCAAAAGCAAATTAGTGGAGCATGGAAGAAATTATCTGTCAGGTCCATGAATAGGGAAAGACTTCATGAGCAAACAAAAGATAGGGAGGTTCAATGGCAGTAAAATGAGTCATTTTGATTAAATAAAATTTAAAAGTTTTTACACAAAGACCATGCAGCTAAAATTAGGACAAGAAAAAAATCTTTGTAGCAAGTTTATCTGATAAAAGTCTTGTTTCTAAAATATATATGGTAGTAAGTCAAATTTATAAGAAAAGGAGCCATTCCCAAAATAAAAAGTCAAGGATACAAATAAGTAGCTTTCAGAGAAATTTAAGCTATTAATAGTGAGATGGAAAAATGCTCTAAATCACTAATAATTACAGAAATACAAATTAAAACAACTCTGAGGTACCACTCTGTACTCATCAGATTGGCAAAGATGACAAAAAAGAAAAATTAAAAATCCTGGAAAGGCTGTGGGAAAACAGGTACACTAATGCACTGTTGGTGGAACTATGAATTAGTCTAACCATTCTGGAAAGCAATTTGGAACTATGCCTAAAAAGCAATTAAATTACACATACCCTTTGACCCAGCAATACCACTACTAAGTCTATATCCTTTAAACAGGGAAAGGCCTTACGTATACCAAAATATTTATAGTAGCTATTTTTATGGTGTCAAAGAATTGTAAACTTAGGGAATGCCCATCGATTGGGGAATTTCTAGCTGAACAAGTTATGGTATATGAATGATAGAATATTACTGTGGTATAAGAAATGATGAATGGGATGGTTTCAGAAAAACATCAGATTTGTATGAACCTATGCAAAATGAAGTGAATCAAGCCAGCCTAACAGTTTATACAATAAATTGTAAAGATAATCAATTTTAAGCAACCCTAATCAACACAATGACCTGACACAATTCCAAAGGACTCAAGATAAAACATACTATCCACCTCCAAATAGATCTGATGGACTCATATTACAGACTGAAGCCTATGTTGCTCTCTTTCTTTCTTTTTCTTTATTTTTATTGGATATGGCTAACATAGGAATTAATTTTGCATGACTATACAAATTTGTAATTGGAAAAAATTTTTAAATAAAGTAAAGCTGGAAAACCTTGAGGAAAAAGAAGTAATCTAGTTATCCTATTTAGAAACTGCTACTCAAAGGGTGTATGTTTTACAAGGGAGGAGAAACAACTTATTCAAATGAAAGTGAACAAGTGAAAATTAAAATATTAAGGAACACTAATTATGGGATAACCAAAAGCAAGAACTTTCTTGGGAAAAAATAGAAATATCTAGCAATCAAGTATCTTCTTGTTAAAGAAAAAAGATTTTATATATATAAGTATATACATATATAT